CTGCGATGCCCTCAAAAAGCCTCTAAAATAAATGCCAAACGCCTGCCTCTTACTCAACAAGAACCAAACAAGCCCCCTTCCTTTAAAACCATATTGAAATATATTTTATATTTCTATTTTTCATATTTACATTTACATGCATATTGATACCGGATATGGATGTGTTAGGCAATTGATATAGTATATTACGTCTATTCCTATTATTGATATTTGTTTATCTTTTCTGTTTTCATAAATATCTTTATATATCGACTGCATATTTCTATACTTAGATTTATATTTATATACCACTTCTATTATTCCAGATAAAAACCCCGTCTCTAAACAAATAAATACAAAAACCTCCTTTCCTTTAAACGACATAGAAATATTTTTATTTATACTTTGTAAAATTACTTTCATATTTATATATATTGTTTCTTTTGACGCATTATATTAATATTTATATACAAGATATATGAAACTCGAAAAACATAATTAAATGATTACTTAAATTATTTACCACATCTACTGCTGCAACTAATTTTTTTCTTAGAGCTTTAAATTTTAAATATATCTGTAAGTATTTAAGACATATTTCTGTACTTACATTTCCACCTTTATACTGTTTGTATTTATAATTTTTATAGTCAAAACCTTGCCAACTGGCAAATAAAAAATCTGCTTTAACTATTTTTATAAAAATATTTCTATTTATTATCTTCATAAGTATGTTTATAATGTGTTAAATATTATATGATAACATATTGATGTACTGTAATTCAAAACATTTTTTATATAGTATTATATTAAAATACTACATATACAGTATTACTTGTATTATGTATTGTATCAATTTTTATTTTTCTATATTTATGAATATTTTCTTTATACAAGTCTGCATATATTTGTCATGCATTTCTATATTTATATTTGGATTGGGGTTTCGTTTCTATTTATAATCTATACTTTTATATAGCTAAAAACATATATAATACCCTGTATTAAAAAATATATCATATGGTAATATATAATGATTTATGTAACATGGATTTTTTTTACATATTTGATCTATATTTAAATTTTAAGTTTTTTATTCCTATTTCTATACATATATTTGTTTTGTTTAATTATCGTTATAGTCCTAATTGTACATTTATAATCCAATTCCTAAATAAAATGACAAAACAAACAGCACCGAATTCCCACCAATATGTTCCAAAACCGTCAAGATACCTCCAAGAGCCAAGCAACTGCCAGCGAAAAAACCACACAACACTCTTTTTGGTAACAATTCTCATCACGACAGGAAAATGGAACCAAAATAAAAGGAAACCCTATAGAGACACACACAGCAAATTACAAAAAGTACTAAAAAAAAGTCAAACCAATTTACTAAACTCCAAACAGTGCCACAGATCCTGAACGTTACTACAAAAAAAAACAAAAAACAAAAAAAAACACCAAAATTCTACCTTTCCACTAACTCAAAGAATAACCAATCCACTGTAAAAATAACTTTAAAAACCGAACTAATTAACGAAATGGAAAAAAATTTAACCACTAAAAACTAAGAAAATAACTACCCAAATAAATACATACTTTAAAAACCCACCATATAAATACCCATGTTCCCAAAAAAAAAAACCCTGATAAACAATACTCAAATACATTAAAAGGCAACAACAACAAAAAAAAGAAAATAAGGAAACCAACAATAAGAATAATCACAAAATGCAAGTAAACTTAAATCTGACACAAAAAAATTATTCCCAACTGAATAAACCCATAGTGCCTCAAGCTATCAAAATAAAAATACCACCTAGAAACAAATACAAAGACTAAAGACAAACGTAACCATAAACAATGTCTCCCAAGTGATCCGTAACCATAAAACATACACTCCAATCAAACAAACCGAATAAATAAAAGCCCTGGAAGACGATAAACACACATGCAATTATCGACATTAAAAACCCGCCGCTATGAACGACACGACGCTACCTCAAGCCCCACAAAACAAACACTACACCCTCACGCTAATAAAAGCTGCCGCAACAGAATTAAAATCCGAACCGCTGCTTCACGCTACGACCCGTAAAAACCATTGCGCGCCTTTGAAAACACAATACCCCGGCAAAAAAAAAAAAAAAAACAAAAAACAAAACAAAAGAAAAACCAAAAAAACACACCACCCAAAATCCGACTACAAAACTGAATCCAAAACAAACCTTTATCATCCCTACCAGCACCGAGAACCGTACCACTCAGGAAGAACACCGTATCCCTTAGCGTACAGCCGCTGCAAACTGAACACAACGATGCAATCAATGCCTACAAAGCGTCTCCGAACCACGGCACCGCCGAACTGTGAGCGGCCGAAAGCCGCGCTCGCTGCCGGCCCCGGACGGAGCGCGGCTCCCGGCAGGAAAGTGGCTCCTCCGGTGGCGCCTCCGGCACGCGGCGCCGTTCCGGGGAGCCCCGCCCGCTGCCCCTGCCCGCCGGGGCCGGCACCGGGCCCGGGGCTACCGGCGGCGCCCGAGCCCGCGCCCAGACCGGACGGAGCGGCCGGCACCGCCCGGGCCGGCGCAGCAGCGCCCGCGCCGCCTCTGCCGCCCTCGGCCGGCCCGGCACGGCTCCCCTCGGCTCGCACCGGCGCGGCTCCGCCACTGCCGCCCTCGGCCGGCCCGGCCGCGCCAAATCCCCCGTGCGCCCCGGCAGCTGCCCGGGCCGTGCCAGCGGCGCTCCCGAGCGAGAACGTTCCGGGCCGGGCCGCGGGCATGAGCAGCGCCCTCCGATGCAGCGGCACAGCCCCATTGCAGCCCTGCAAACGCTGCCAGAGCTGCGGCTTCCCGCAGCCGAACCCCGAAACTGACGCCGCCGGCGGGGCTCACCTCACTTCAACAAGGGCAAAGAAATGCCTTCTCCCCTTCAGTTTCGTCCCCTACGAGAGCAGAAAAGAAGGGGCGCTCCTCAAATGAAAGCCTTCGACTGATGGGAAAGGGGGATTTCGACCTCCATTCCAACCCTTGAAAAGGAGGGACACCAGGGCTGCCCCCTCCATTTAAACCCGAGGGTGATGAAAATGGGGTGGCTGCCTTCAAATCCAACCCATAATACCACAAGAATACTTTTCCCATTCCCCTTAAAATAGAACGCAGGGATTCCCTGTCACCCCCGGGATACCCGTAACAGCCTGGAAAAGGCAGCTTTTCCTGCAATCAACACCCTTAAAACCACAAGTGAAGAGGGATCCCCTCAGCTCAAACTCAGACAATAAAAGAAGAGTAGCTGCTTCCTTCTCCTTAATTCCTTTTGTCCTCATAAGGTCCACTTTTGTTCCTGGGGATCCGGGGAGGGACTGGCGAGATGAAATTGCAAAGGGGAAGGAGAAAATTCCCCGCTCCAAACCCACACGGGCTCACCTGTTCAGCCGCTGCTCCCCGGCACCAAGATTCGTCCCTCGGCGCCTCCTTTAAGCGATGCTCCACGTATCCAAGCACGGATCCAGGCGTTCCCCCCGACCCTGTGAGAAGCTCCCGCAGTCCTTCCATGAGACAGCTCCGGGAGCGCCCCACAAACCCCTCCACTCAGCAGCTCCACGCTAAAGGGAGCTGAGGCAAAGCCTCCCCCTAAAACAGCCTCGCCCCGGCAGGAGCGGGCCCCTCATCATCCTCACACTCACACCTGGGCTGCTCCGAGCCCCCACCATCCTCACACTCACACCTGGGCTGCTCCGAGCCCTCATCATCCTCACACTCACACCTGGTGCTATTCCGAGCCCCCATCAAATGCCTTTGCCATTTTAATTCAAAGCGCCAGTCCACTTCCCAGCCCCACAGTGATATCAGCTGCGCCCCAAGAGTTGCCATGACAGGCGCAGGCAATATTCTAGCATCAACGGGGTATTCAGTCACAAGCTTGCAGCCCCCTTTTCCCACTCCACACATCCTGTTCTACTGTTAGTCGCAATACCCAGCCCCTGCATCCATGTCAAGGCCTACAGTGATCTCGGCGCAAGAACACTCCAGTCCCTTTACCAGCCTTAAGGTCGCTGTGATGTGTTAAGCCGCAACTCTAGTCCCACATAAATTACAAGATCAGGCCCAGTGATTTCAGCCTTTTCAGATCTTGACCCACAAGCTTTATTTCACTGCCAGCTCTCTTCTTCCAGTTCCAGCTCTGTGTTTCTCCAGCTTGAAATGGCAGCATCTTCCCTTGGCTCCAGGTCGGCAACAATTCAGCTCCCGCACGAGCCTCTGGAAGCCCGCCCCACCATCCATCCCTTTACCAACCCCAAGGTTGCTGTGATGTGTTAAGCCGCAACTCCAATCCCATAATGATAACAAGCCCAGGCCCAGTGATTTCAGCTCTTTCAGCTCTTGACCCACAAGCTTTATTTCACCATCTCTGTGCCAGCCCTATAGCTCCTATGTTGTGCGCAGCCCCGATCCCTGACCCGCATTGATGAAAACTCCAGGCGCAGTGATTTCAGCTCTTTCAGCTCTTGACCCACAAGCTTTATTTCACCATCTCTGTGCCAGCCCTATAGCTCCTATGTTGTGCGCAGCCCCGATCCCTGACCCGCATTGATGAAAACTCCAGGCGCAGTGATTTCAGCTCTTTCAGCTCTGGACCCACAAGCTTTATTTCACTGCCAGCTCTCTTCTTCCAGCTCTGTGTCCCATTCTGCGATTTGTCCTCAGATCCACAGTGAGAATCCCTTATAGCAGTGACTGTTTCTGCAGCACTGCAGTCCCCACCCCGTCCCCAGTGATTTCAGCTCCAGTCCCACAAGCTTTATTTAACTGCCAGCTCTTCTCTTGCACTTCCTGCTCCACATCTGCACAGTAGTGCCACACAATACTACTTCTGCTTCTCAGGACTGGATCTTTGTTTTAGCTCTGGTTCTTGCGCTCAGATCACAGCCCTTACAGCAATTTCAATTCCAACCATGCAGTTCACCTCCCCGCTCCACAATCCCTATCCCAGCTCCACAGGAGTTTTACACCAAACCCTACCATATTTCTGTCTCCTCCAGCTCTGCTGCCTCAGCTCCAGCTCCTCAGCTTCCTACTGGCTGCAGCTAAAAGCTGCTCATGCTTTTCACTGCACCTTGGGGCTGTTGACAAGGCCACAAATCAGTTACTGCCATCCCTTCAATTTCAATATCTCTAGAAGCTGTCCCATCCACCCACCCACCCCTAAGTGGCAACCCTAAGTGGCATCCCAACTCTGGGGACACTGGAGGCCTGAAGCTCAACATCCACCTTGCCCCTCACCCTGGCTCTCAGCCCAGCACCTGCACAAGGGCCCCCTCACCTCCCCTCAGGCAGCTCCAGGGGCTGGGAATAGCCACTGGACTCCTGCCCCCCATCCCAAAAGGCACTCTCGGGCTGGTTCTTGGGCCCTAGAACCCTCTGAGCCCCCACACCCTCAGCCCCTCGTTGGCACCACGGGGCAGGGGCTGGGAACCCCCAGGCATAACCTGCAGGCCCTGTGCTGCAGCTCCATGCCTTCCTCCCATGGCATTTATCTAGCCTCAGTATTTCCACCACTCCACACGGTTTTGGGCCTGACTCATGCCAAAATCATTATTCCACACCCTGGGGTTTTATATCCCCACTGCTCTCACAACTGGTGTTTCAGCCCCAGTCCCACAACCCTTACCGAGTTAACATGAGACATCTAGTAAAGAAAACAAATCAAACCAAAAAGATGTATTAAAACGGGCAATAATAAAATAACACAATTAAGAAAAAAAACATCACAACTAAAACCAAAATAAAGTAATAAAAAACAAAAAGCAAGCTTTATTCTGCGTATTCTGAACATTTCTTTAAATCCAGAAACGGCGAAGCGGCTACTTCCCAGCCCCCAGTGACAGCAGGCGGTCCGTCCGTCCCCCGCCCCCCCCCCGCGCCACTCCAGGCCCCACATCAGCCGCCAGCTACCCGAGCCACGCAGGGCGCGGCAGAAAGAACTGGACACGGCCGGCCCCCAGACACCGCCGCAGGCGCCGCGTCCGTGCTCACCGGCGCTCCCCGGATCAGCTGCCGCGGGGGGCCCGTCCTGGCGCAGCGCCGCTCCTCGGATCGCGCATCCGCAGCTCCCGTCGCTCCCCGCTTCACCGCCCAACTGACGCCATTACCGCCCCAACGCACGCTATTTATGCCCCGCGGGCGGACAGCCAGCCAATCACAACCCGAGGCAGCGCCTGCCGGCTCCACCAATCCCAGCCCGCCCATTCCCGCCGCGCTCGGCCCCGCGACTCCCCGCGGTCCCCTCAAGCGCTGCTCCCGCCGCCGCCATTGCAGTGGCCGCGTCCGTCCGCTCCCCGCCGCCTGCCCGTTTCCCTGGACCAGAACCTGATCCCCACCAGGACCTGAACTGGAAGCTCCCGGCCGCCCTTCCCGTCCGCAACAGCTCCTGCCGAGGCAGCGGCAGCGGGGACGCTGCTCCGCCGGCTCCCAAAGCGGCGGTGGCGGGAGCGGCGCCTCAGACGTACGGGCGAGCGGGGCCAGTCTGAGGGGTCCAGCCGCGACTGAGCGGGCTGAGATTGGCGGGACCGCTTCCGGTTTGAAAGGGCGGCTGTGATTGGACAGGGCCGACGGAGAAAGGCGGGCCGTGATTGGCGGGTTTGGGAGCCGTCAGGCTCTTTCTTTTAAACAATGTTTAAATATATATATCCTTATGTTTTCATATTTATATTCACATTTATATTTAAAATATATAATAATGTATATTGCTTACTTAAACATTTATCTTTATCAATGTCAAGTTATAAAGAAATTTATATTCTATATTGCATCTACTCCAAGCACTTATTTATATATTTTTATACATATTTTTATATATTGGTTATATATTTCTGTGTTAAGATTTTTACATCTGTAACAGTTGTATTATTTAAAATAAAAACCCTGCCTCTACTTAAATAAAAGTCAAAAAATTCCCTTTCCTTTAAAATATATCTACCTATTTTTATATTTATATTCTCATTTATAATTCATATTGCCATACAATGTTATTTATAGTCCATATTACAATTCTGAATTTTACTCACATATATTTATAATTAAATTTCTATTCATAGATTAGTAAACTGTCTATATATATATATTATTCATTTCTATATTAAGATTCACAATTTTATAATACTTAAAATATTTCAACAAAAAACCCTGCCTCTAACCAAATAAAAACCAAAGACACCCCTTAATATACACAATATCTGAAATTCTATTTTCCCTCATATCTTCAGTTTTAGTGTATTCAAAAAACAGGCTGCTAGAAAACGAGCTGCATTGCAAAGGACCAAAACTTGCTAAAACTAAGCTCACAGATGTTGCAAAAGCAGGGGAAAAAGACGAGGAGGAAGACAAAAATCGGAGGGGAAGATATGAGGCACATGGCATGGATAATTTAAAAAAAAAGAAAAAGAAAAAAATCTTTCCCAAAGTCAAAGCCATCAAAAGGCATGGCATGCCATCAAGGCCAGGGACAGGCACCAAGGATTCGTCTATTGGTCCGGAGTGAAATCGCAAGATCCCTTTTCTCTTAAGAAAATGAAATTTCATTTCCTTTCGGGAAAGGAAAAGGAATCTTGCAAGCCTAAAAAGAAAGGCTTACAAACACTCTGGAAAGGAGATAGGATCAAATAAAATGCAATTGAAAAAAAACCTCAAAAAAAACAAAAAATCAGGAGTTTTAGTGTCTTCAAAAAATAGGTTGTGAGGAAATCAGCTGCATTGCAAAGGATCAAAACATGCTTAAACGAAGCTCCCAGATGTTGCAAAAGCAGGGGAGAAAGTCAAGGAGGAAGACACAACTTAGGGGGCAAGATATGAGGGACATGGCATGGACACTCCATAAAACAACAAAAAAAGAACAAAATCTTTCCCAAAGTCAAAGCCATCAAAAGGCATGGCATGCCATCAAGGGCAGGGACAGGCACCAAGGATTCCTCTGTTGGTCCCCATTGAAATCGCAAGGTTCCTTTTCCCTTCCCGAAAGGAAATTATATTTTGCATTTCTCTCTAATAACATAAAAATAAACCCACCCCCTTCTTTTTAAAGATACTGTAATTTTTAATTTATACTTTTTATAATTATATTCATATTTTTATTTCATGTTTCTTTTGACTTATTCTATTATTAATTATTTAGAATATAGATAATATTCTAAATTTATATTTAAATGATTATTTAAATCATTTATTATATCCACCGTTGCAACTAATCTTTTCTTATATTCCTAAATTTTATATATCTGTCTGTATTTATCACATTTTTTATACTTAAACTTCTACCTTTATTTTTTTAATATTCATTATTTTTATAGTAAACCCCTGGCTTTTGGCAAATATAAAACCTGCTTTTTTTGAGTATTTTAAAAATATCTTTATTTTTATAATTTTCATATGGATGTAATCGTTTTTTAAATAGTATATGATAACATATTGTTCTGCTGTATTTATAAATATTTTATACATATTTCCTATAACATGTTATAATACTATATATACAGTATTACTTGTATTAATCATTGAATACTATATATACAGTATTACTTGTATTAATCATTGTATCAATTTTTATTTTTCTATAATTATGAATATTTTCTATTTCTATATATGTCTGCATATATTTGTCATACATTTCTGTCTTTATATTTTGATTGTGGTTTCGTTTCTATTTATAATCTCTATTTTTGTATATCTATAAACAAATATAATACCCTACCCTGTATTTAAAAATACTATATCCTAGTGTAATATATAATGATTTACACTACATGGATTTTTTATATATGTATTCGGTCTCTATTAAATTTTAAGTTTTTATTCCGATTTCTATACATATCTTTGTTTTGTTTAATTATAGTTATAATTTTACATTTAAAGTCCAATTCCTAAATAAAATGACGAAACAAACAGCATCGAATTGCCACCAATATCTTCAAAAACATCAAGCTAAAAAACCACACAATGCTCTTTTCCATAACAGTCCTAATCACATCAGAAAAATGGAACCAAAATAAAAGAAAACCCTATAGAAACACGCACAGCAAATCACAAAAACTACTTAGAAAAAAAATCAAACCAATTTACTAAACTCCAAAGAGTTCCACTGACCCTGAACATTATTTAAAAAAAACAACTAAAACACAACCTCTACACTAACTCAAAGAAGAACCAATACTCCGTAGAAATAATTTTAAAAACCGAACTAATTAACGAAGTGGAAAAAAATCTTAACCACTAAAAACTAAGAAAATTCCTACCCAAATAAAAAAACTATTTAAAGAGACCCACCATATAAATACCCACGTTCCCAAAAATTAAACTAATAAACTGCAATCAAATACATCAAAGGACAAAAAAAAAAAAAAAAACCAACAACAAAAACAAAAAAAAAACCCACCAAAACCAAAACCAAATAAACTTAAATTTACAACAAAAAAATTACTCCCAACTGAATAAACCAATAGTGCCTCAAGCTATCAAAATAAAAATACCACCTAGAAACAAACACAAAGCCTAAAGACAAACGTAACCATAAACAATGTCTCCCAAATTACCCGTAACCATAAAACATACACTACAATCAAACAAACCGAATAAATAAAAGCCCTGGAAGACGATAAACACACAGGCAATTATCAAGACTTAAAACCCGCTGGTATGAACGACACGGCTCAAGCCCCCCAAAACAAACACTACACACTCACGCTAATAAAAGCCGCCGCAACAGAATTAAAATGCGAACCGCTGCTTCACGCTACGACCCGTAAAAAGCATTGCACGCCGGAGAGCCCCGCCCGCTGCCCCTGCCCGCCGGGGCCGGCACCGGGCTCGGGGCTACCGGCGGCGCCCGAGCCCGGAGCGGACGGAGCGGCCGGCACCGCCCGGGCCGGCGCAGCAGCGCCCGCGCCGCCTCTGCCGCCCTCGGCCGGCCCGGCACGGCTCCCCTCGGCTCCGCACGGCTCGCACCGGCGCGGCTCCGCCACTGCCGCCCTCGGCCGGCCCGGCCGCGCCAAATCCCCCGTGCGCCCCGGCAGCTGCCCGGGCCGTGCCAGCGGCGCTCCCGAGCGAGAACGTTCCGGGCCGGGCCGCGGGCATGAGCAGCGCCCTCCGATGCAGCGGCACAGCCCCATTGCAGCCCTGCAAACGCTGCCAGAGCTGCGGCTTCCCGCAGCCGAACCCCGAAACTGACGCCGCCGGCGGGGCTCACCTCACTTCAACAAGGGCAAAGAAATGCCTTCTCCCCTTCAGTTTCGTCCCCTACGAGAGCAGAAAAGAAGGGGCGCTCCTCAAATGAAAGCCTTCGACTGATGGGAAAGGGGGATTTCGACCTCCATTCCAACCCTTGAAAAGGAGGGACACCAGGGCTGCCCCCTCCATTTAAACCCGAGGGTGATGAAAATGGGGTGGCTGCCTTCAAATCAAACCCATAACACCACAAGAATACTTTTCCCATTCCCCTTAAAATAGAACGCAGGGATTCCCTGTCACCCCCGGGATACCCGTAACAGCCTGGAAAAGGCAGCTTTTCCTGCAATCAACACCCTTAAAACCCCAAGTGAAGAGGGATCCCCTCAGCTCAAACGCAGACAATAAAAGAAGAGTAGCTGCTTCCTTCTCCTTAATCCCTTTTGTGCTCATAAGCCCCATTTTTTTTCCTGGGGATCCGGGGAGGGACTGGCGAGATGAAATTGCAAAGGGGAAGGAGAAAATTCCCCGCTCCAAACCCACACGGGCTCACCTGTTCAGCCGCTGCTCCCCGGCACCAAGATTCGTCCCTCGGCGCCTCCTTTAAGCGATGCTCCACGTATCCAAGCGCGGATCCAGGCGTTCCCCCCGACCCTGTGAGAAGCTCCCGCAGTCCTTCCATGAGCGCCCCACAAACCCCTCCACTCAGCAGCTCCATGCAAAAGGGAGCTGAGGCAAAGCCTCCCCCTAAAACAGCCTCGCCCCAGCAGGAGCGGGCCCCTCATCATCCTCACAGCTCACACCTGGGCTGCTCCGAGCCCCCACCATCCTCACAGCTCACACCTGGGCTGCTCCGAGCCCCCACCATCCTCACACTCACACCTGGGCTGCTCCGAGCCCCCACCATCCTCACACTCACACCTGGGCTGCTCTGAGCCCCCTATTTTTCATATTTATATTCGCATTTATATTTAGAATTTATATTACTGTACAATAAAAATTATATTGTATATTGCATCTCTTCATGTTACTTACATAGATTTCTATTTCTATTCATAGTTTGATATTATATCTTTATATCTCTATATATTTATTATATATTTCTGTATGTCGATTTACATTTCTATAGTACTTATATTATTTAAAATAAAACCCCTGCCTCTAACGAAATAAAAAGCAAAGGCACCCCTTTATTTAAACCCCATTTAAAATTTTAAAATTAATTTTGTTTGTCATAATTCTATTCACATCTATATTTGTAATTTTCATTTGTTTTATTTATAGATATTTTATATATTGGAGAGAATACCTTTTTATATAATAATAGATATATTCTTTTGACACAATATATTTTTAACTTATATTTATATATATTACATATTTATTGATATCGACATATATATGATATATTTGGAT